TAAGTTAGGCAAATGTAGCCGTTACATATGAAAAGGAAACGAGAAACTTAAATAAAATGTTTAAAATATTTATTTATTAAAGTCGTTTCATCCAAAATAGGATGTCAGTCATTCACTAAAACAAACAAAAACAAAAACAGTCAAGGTGTGCTGCCATCTACTTGCCATAGCCTGCAAGAGAAGGAAACAAGAAAATAATTAGTCATTATTGTCCTTGCTTGTGGCCACACCTAAGTTAGCCCTTAATGAAAAGGTTTAATTCAATATTTCTACTTATTATTTGTACAAATATTTCATTTTTATTTTGTAAACAAGTTTAATACTTTGTGTATTCCTTCTTCCCATAAATATAGACGCGCGCGCACGCACACACACACACACACACACACACACACACACGAACGTCTCCCCTTACTCTTCTGGAAGATTGAAGAGTAAGGGGAGACATGATCACTACCTACAAAATCCTCGGGGAATTGACGGGGTAGATAAGGATAAATTGTTTAACACTGGTTGTACGCGAACAAAGGGACACAACTGGAAACTGAGTACCCAAATGAGCCGCAGGGACGTTAGGAAGAAATTTTTCAGTGTCAGAGAAGTTAACAGATAGAATGCATTAGGCAGTGATGTGGTGGAGGCTGACTCCGTACACAGTTTCAAATGTAGATATGATAAAAGCCTAGTAGGCTCAGGAATCTGTACACCAGTTGATTGACGGTTAAAGGCGGGACCAAAGAGCCAAAGCTCAACCCCCGCAAGCACAAATAGGTGAGTACAAATAGGTGAATGCACACACAGTGAGTCCTCAGTGAGGGAGACACACGTGTCAGCGCACGTCCCGTCCAAGACTTACCGCCAGAATCCCGGAATATTTAATTGGCAGAGACCTAAACATAGTTTTTGTCCCATGCATTGTTCAGCAACACAGTGATCAGCATCTCATAGTGAATTATTACAGTGTTACATAAGATAAATAAAAAGATCGATTCCTTGTTGCAACACCAGAGCCACCAGTTAGGAAACCAATTGGACACCTGAGTACCAGAACTGGATTATCGACGACCCTCGTCATAAGGACAGCAATCTATTACTCGCCTGGTTATGCTGAACGAGAAGACTTGGCTGGTAGGTATTGTTTTCTAAGTCAAATATCTGTTGTATGGAGCGAGTTAAAATACAAATTTTCTCAATATTTCATCTATATTTAGAAATGTCAAGTGGCTCATTCAAGGTAGGACGTTTTTGACACCTATGTGACAAGGATCCCAGTGACTATCCCTAACCCCCCCTCACTCTCCCAAATCACTCCTGCATTTCTTATACCCTTCCCATATCCCCATACCATGTCCCATACCCCTTCAATAGCCCATATCCCAAATACCTCCATATCCATCTATATCTGTCTCTCCCTTCCTCGGTCATCTCTCATCTCATCTCCCTCCACCTCCACCCTTTATCCTGCTCTCCCTATGTCTTCCCCCTTACCATTCCTCTATCTCCCTCTTCTCTCTCTTCATCTCTCTGGTCCTTGTGGTGTAATACTAACCCTACAGAACAAAAAGGGATCAAGCATGATGGTAGGACAACAGAACACAGGTGGGGAAAAGGGGCAGGGCAAGTCATACATAAAGATGATATTTCAGACATGGAGAGACATCAGAGGGGAATTGAAATACATGAGGGAAACCATAGGTAAACTACAGATGAAACTAAGTGCAGTGCAGGAAGAGATAAAAAATCAGAAAACAAGCCCTCCTCAGAATTAGGCCCAGGCAACCAACTCCCAGGTAGAAGGAGATATAGCAATGGCAGGGATCCATACAATGGGTGCCACCTTTGCTGAAATGCTGAGGAAGAGGCTAGAAGCCATGTCCACAGTCAAGGAAGTTGCAATGAAAGCAGTAACTTCAGGGGAGGAAGCTAGATTCACGAGCCAGCTAATGGAAAGGAAAAAGAGCTGTAGTTGTGGTAGGTATTGAGAAACTAGAACGTTTCAGGCAGGAAGAGTGGAGGGTTAAGGACAAAGCTGCAGTGTCAGGGATACTGAAGGAGATACAAATGGAAGGGGCTGAACAATGCATAGAAAAGTTATACCGGATTGGCCAGTAAAACAAAGACAAAAATTGAGTTATCAGGGTAGCATTTAGGAACGAGGCCACCAAAGAGGACTTGATAGTCAAGAAGAGCAAACTGAAATAGGTAAGAAAATACAGAGAGGTATTCCTTCTGAGGGACATGACCAGGGTGAGATAATACATGCAGCAGATGCAAGGAGAGGGAAGGGAGCCAGGGAACCTCAGCTTTCAACCCAACAACCCCAGTGGGGAGTGGGGAACCCCAATCCAGCAATTCAGGAACCACAGAGGGGACTGCAACACCCCAACCTGCCACCCCATAGGAGCCCCTCTCACCCCAAGCACAAACCCCCCCACTTCCCCTTACACAATGGCCATCATACCACCCAGCTCCTCCCTCCCCCTTACCTCGAGTACCCTCTGCCTCCCCTGATCCCCTGATCTTCTTGCTGCCTCAAGCAGCCCCTGCCTCAACCTAAGCCCTCCATCCCCAACCCCAACTCCACACAAACCCCTGGTAACTACATAACAGGAAGACGAGCCCCCTCACCCCGAGCACTCCCTGCCCCCCTAGAATTCTTCCTGACCCAAGCAGGCCAGGGCATGATCTAAGCCCGCCTCCCTCCAAACCCCTGGTAACTACCTCACAGGAGGATGAGCCTACACATGTAGCCCTGCCCATCGCCTGCAATGAACAATGGCCCCATCGCCTACAATGAACAGTGACACCATCGCCTGCAATGAACAGTGACACCATCGCCTGCAATGAACAGTGACACAATCGCCTGCAATGAACAAAGGCACCATCGCTTGCAAAGAACAATGGCACAATCGCCTACAATGAACAAAGGCACCATCGCCTACAATGAACAATGACACCATCGCCTACAATGACCAATGACACCATGAACCAGCATGTTGAAACTACTCGTGATACTGAATAAAAGTTAAAATTAGGTCTGTTGTGAGGAAATGTGTTTATGAGTGATAATATGACATCAAATGTCATATTATCTCCGGGATTGTGTAAGAGAGAGAGAGAGGGAGGTATGTCCCTCACTATATGTTACAGTCACACACCAAAATGACGAAATGGAACAAATAATAAATACATAACTCAAGAAAGACAAAATGTAAATAATTTTAGGGAAATCTATTAATTAAGCAAGTTGGAAGGTTCCCCCTTCCCTCCCCCCACACACACGTGTTGACGTGCGTGTGACGGGCCGCGCGCACGAGTGACGGGCCACGCGCTGGAAGAAGTTATGTGGAGCAGCGTAACTCGCATTTCACTTCATAGGAGGGAGTTAGATTGTTGGGTTCTCAGGGACATTATCGCGGCCTTATTCTGCGCGTAGGTCATATGATTCCTGCAAAGGCGTGAGGGCGGTGTCTGAACGACCCAGCGACCAGTTACGCTGCTTCCAACCCCATGTAACTCATTAGTACTACATCTGTGAGGGTTCTCAGTTACCGGGTCAAGTAACCGGGGTCACCAGCGTCACGCAAGACACTCAGACACCCAGGCACTCAGACACACGGGGCCGGGTCACCAGCATCGTAGACTGCAAAGACTGGCAGAGTGTTGCCTCACGGAAGAGGAATTAGTAGGGCAAGGAGAGCGGGAGTGGTCAGTGAACTTCTAACGCGGGGTCACTGTGTGTAGACAAGGTGCCGCCGGCGTGGGAGGGGCGTGGGAGAGGCGTGGGAGGGGCGTGGGAGAAGCCTAAGGGTCACGTTGGCGTCATGAGCGAGTTGAATCATATTTTTTTTTAAAGAAACGGAAATAACGGGAAAATGCAGATGTACCGTAATACCCAAGTTGTGTAGTCAGCAGGGAGCGAGGCCCCACGCACTCTACTTTCTCCGCAGCGAGAACGGTCCGTAAACAAAAAGAAAAAAAAAAGATTGAAACTGTCTTCTTACGTTGTATAAATCCAATGTTTTGTTTTTGATTGGAAGTGTAGCCCTTAATCATCGCGATACTGAATGACTCAGCAACCGAAGACCGACTGATCCTTCTGGTAGAACGTCAGAACTGTCAACGATGTGTTGATTTGTAAAGAAACCAACGTTCTATTGGTATTTAGAGGCCAATGCTCTAATTTATGTAGAACAACCAATATTTAATGAGTGCGTTGTGCAACCGAAATTCCATTTGCAGGCAAAGCAACCAATGATCTATTGCAACGCAGAGCAATCATCATTATATTAATAAATGCAATTACTTACGTTTCCATAGTGCATAATTTAGCCAAGTGTGGACATCCTCAATCAAAATTCAAGAAAAGTTCCAGCATTTCATCCATAATTATATATCAACCAAAAGCTTAACCGAGTCTTGTAATTATGTTTGGTGCAGGAAGTGAATGGACTGGCTGAGTCTACCATGTTACTGTATCCTCTCAACACAAAAGTAAATTGTTTTAACTTACAAAACAGTGATATCCAGTTTCTGAACCCATTATGAGACTCTAGACTTTCTTCCAATGTCCACAAAATGGGTTTGGGGTTCCTCATAAACTAATTAAACATAATTTTTTTTGATCAAGTGTGGTAGGTGTTGTCCCTTGAGTTATACCTGTGCACATTCACATGGGGAGGTATGAAAAAAGTTACAGTCACACTAGATATTTCAAGCAGCTTTGTCACGACAATTTTTTTCGTTTGATTCTGCGGTCCAGACGAAGGAAGAGAAGTGGTATCTCTTTTAGTTCAATGTAAAGTAGAGGGAGGGAGTGTAGGTAGAACAGAGAGTATGATCATATTACCTAGCCACTCACCACAGCCACACAACTATGATACCCCATCCATTCACTCACACCCAACATCCACCCATTCACTCACACCCAACATCCACCCATTCACTCACACCCAACATCCACCCATTCACTCACACCCAACATCCACCCATTCACTCACACCCAACATCCACCCATTCACTCACACCCAACATCCACCCATTCACTCACACCCAACATCCACCCATTCACTCACACCCAACATCCACCCATTCACTAACACCCAACGTTCACTTCTCCCACCCCGGTCACTCACATTACGCACATAAGCATAACGTGTGACATAAACAAATGTTTTCTTACCTCCATATCCACCACCGAGGCCACCTCCAAATCCACCACCTCCATATCCGCCTCCAAATCCACCACCTCCAAATCCACCGCCTCCAAATCCACCACCTCCATACCCACCGCCCAAGCCACCTCCAAATCCACCACCTCCAAATCCACCACCTCCATATCCACCGCCTCCATGTCCACCGCCGAAGCCTCCTAATCCCCCTCCAAATCCGCCTCCGTAGCCGCCTCCATATCCGCCTCCGTAGCCGCCTCCATGTCCACCTCCGTACGAGACGGGAATATGGATGGGCACGTACACGTAGCTTATTCTTCCGCCATAGCCGCCGCCACCGCCACCCTTCTTGAAGCCTGGAGCAGCGAGGGCCCCGCCCACCACCGCCAGAGTCACCAGCACCGCCGCCGACACACGCTGGGGAAGCAGGACTGGGTTAGTACTTCACATACTGGCGAAGTAGTTCTGGCGGAGGAGCAAGATTGAGTTAGTCTAGGCATAGTGGAGGAGCAAGATTGAGTTAGTCTAGGCATGGTGGAGGAGCACGACTGAGTTAGTCTCCACATGGTGGAGGAACAAGATTGAGTTAGTCTAGACATGGTGGAGGACTAAGACAGGGCTATTCCTTCCTTCTCTGGGGGAGTAACAAGTTGGGAAGACAATAAAGGAGTAAGTTCGCAGGTAGTAAGGAGTAGAGGGAACTTTGACAATTGATGGAAGATCAGAAATGGAGCATATGAAAGCTGACTGTATAGCTAGATATAATAAATTATAAATCTGAGATAAAGATAATTTAAATGGCATAATATTACTCAAAAGTCGTAGTCAAGGAGGCAACGCTGAGAAGGGGAGGGATAAGCACTGAGGAAAAATTTAGGTAATTGAAAACGAAAAAAAAAAGTGGAAACATACAGAATTAATCAGAAGGAAACGAAGAATACTGAATAATACTTTCTGATAACAAACTGCGGAAAACAAATGAAATGTTTGCATTAACTGATAAAATTGGAACATGAACTGATAAAGTTAAAACTAAGGAGATAGATAGTAACGACATATAGCCTTTGGAAAGAATGGAAGCCATAGATTTTAAATTGAACAACATGAATCCTGAGAACAGTAGCAAGTGGGACCAAGTAGTTATAGCCAAAAGGTGCAAAAACAAAAAACAAAAAAAGATAATGTCTTCCAAACCATGAAAGTACAGACGAGATTATAACTGAAATGGATGAAAATTATAATAATCAATCAAAGCCCGAGATAAAAACAAGTAAAACCAAGGCTGACCAAGTGTCAGCCTTGATTTTAGCATATTAAAGAGGATTTATCGTTGAATTCTTGAAAATTCTAGGTTTAATAGTACAAAGGAACTTGGAGGAAATATAAAAGCTAGGGTCATATTATGGAGCACAGAACAAGATAAACACGTGGCTACTCATGATGGTGTTTGCAAATGAAAGTGTATAGAGAATTCTGATGAATTGCTAATTAAATCTTAGTGAAATACATGGCTAAAAATAGTTCACTTAAAGAATGATGTAAACAGGAATGAAATATAGCAATCAGAACGAACAAAGAGGGAGGAGGTGGAGGACAAGGAGTCAGGAAGCCAGCTCACTCAGCAGATACAAGAGGCAGGAACCGACCTCACTTAGCAGATACAAATCAGGAACCGACCTCACTCAGCAGATACAAGAGGCAGGAACCGACCTCACTCAGCAGATACAAGAGGCAGGAACCGACCTCACTCAGCATTGCTGGTGAAGTGGTTATGGTACTGTGTATGCCAGAGGGGGAAGCTTGGTAATGTAGGTTGGAATGAATTTCTTTTGTAGTATTTAGCATCAGCTCATTTACAGAACACTATAACAGCACTTGCACGGAATAACCAATTTAGCTCGTAGGGCTGGACAGAAAAATATTGATGACACCCGTATAGAAATCACTGCTTCGAACCCAAGACTAGTCGACGGAGCCAGCCCTAGAGGCACACATCTTGAACGTAGGATCTTCAGTACTCTGTATCAAACAACCAGTTTTCTGGTGGTGAGCTCACCATGACTGCTGAAGCAGGTCTGAGGAAGGCACTAACTGAACATAAAATCCAGAACTTTATATATATATATCGTGAAGCTCCTCTCACTTGGGCACCAACACATTCACCTGCTAGACTAGGCAAAGCCATCGGGGTCAGTAGTCAAAATATCTCATGACCCAATACTGACAAGGGCGAGGGAGCGCGAATGTACGCCTTTGTGGGTACGTGGTTTCTCTTCTTGATTACTGTGCGTCGTCACCATGACTCGCCACAAGAACACCTTCACAACAAATACCTTCTCGTCTCTGAGGCACTTCTAACCAGATTAAGTGTTTCATGTGACAGGAAGTGTTTCATATGACAGGAAGTGTTTCATATGACAGGAAGTGTTTCATATGACAGGAAGTGTTTCATATGAGAGGAAGTGTTTCATGTGACAGGAAGTGTTTCATGTGACAGGAAGTGTTTCATGTGACAGGAAATGTTTCGTATGACAGGAAGTGTTTCATGTGACAGGAAGTGTTTCATGTCACAGGAAGTGTTTCGTATGACAGGAAGTGTTTCATATGACAGAAGTGGATTGACAGGAAGTGTTTCACGTGACAGGAAGTGTTTCATTTTGATATTAATATAGACATCCAATCCTTAGTGACACTGGAAATAACATTAAATCTGTTAAACTCTCTGAGTATACACTGCCAAACCGTCGTGGCAGATAGTGAGTCACATGATCTTAGTATAGACTTCGTGTCTTCCATGACGCTTGTAAACGACCGCAAGTGTTGCATATAATCTTAGTATTCATTGCCAAGTGCCACTTGCAGTGAGAGGCAGGAAATTTGGCACTGAGTATAGACGTCACACTCAGTAAGTGTGACGACAAAAATAGCTTCACATGAGCGTTGAGACTAGAGAGCGTTCGAGGCATTTGTAAACACTGGGAGCGTTTCATGTACCAATAACACGCCTTGGCAAGACGTGGTATTGGTCAGAAAATACATTGCTAACAGTTTTGTATATATATATATATATATATATATATATATATATATATATATATATATATATATATATATATATATATATATATATATATATATATATATATATATATATAATATGCAATTGACGATCACGGAACACTGATAATTTGTATTCTTCACCAATTGCTTTGAAATTTTGACACAAAGTTCTATTCGAATTCACATGTGTTTATATATGCCTACGCTATTGATGTTACGTCTGTGACAGGTAAAAGCATGCTTTTTGAAAAACTGTGTTTTTTCATGAGGGAAGTTTCCGAAACCTCTTTATCGATTGCTTTGACATTTTGACACAAAGTTGCCTTCGAATATGCGCGTGTTTTTATACACCTACTATATACATACTACACCTGTGACAGGTAAAAACTTGCTTTTTTGAAAACAGCACCATCTGTTGGACGTAAAAGCCACATACGCTCTACTAAATATTTTATGATTCCATTTCACTGTTTCTGATAGCATTAAGTATAATTTTCATAGATTTCGATTTATTTAAATTTTGATTTAATTATTTCGTGTGACATTGCATTGGAATTGAGCTCTATCTTTTACCCATACCCTTCATATCGTGAGTATAGATATTTTTTATTTTTTCATTAATAATATCCAAATGGAGAACCTGCCTTTTTATTTAAGTATATATGTAAACATGTCATATGAAACACTTCCCCACACTACATCATCCTCACCCACACTACACTGGGGGTAAACATTTCCTTCACCTGGGCACTAGGAGACTCGAACTGCGATCAGTCTTTGGCAGCATGTATATAGGTTTATGGTAAGTAAAAAATCTTTGCAATTACTCGGATTTATTTAAGAAAAATAATCAACACAATCAAATAACAAATACATAACAATCAACAGAGCCGTTTGGTCTACTTCTTGCCGTAGCCTGTGAAAAGAAGATGAACTAGAGTCAAAACATATAGGCCGAGATTCATATACATGCAACACATCTATGTGTAATATAACACATTTATTATATAATGTAGCAGATATATATATATATATATATATATATATATATATATATATATATATATATATATATATATATATATATATATATATATATATATATATATATATATATATATATGGATATAACGCACCTGTATTAAATATAGTATAACAAATATATATATATCTATATATATATCGCATGACACGAGGCTTACGATTGGTGATTCAGATATAGAGAGGCGTAGGATTGATGAATCATATATAGCAAGAGAGTAACTCCGACGGTTTACATACAAGACACGATAAATAAGTTTGGATAAAAGTTGAGACGTAATGAGGGTTACAGCTCGTTAGCGATGACCTCGTTAACCCTGCCCACGCTTCCAGCATGGACCGGTCCAGCAACATGGGCAGGTCCAGCAACATGGGCAGGTCCAGCAACATGGACCGGTCCAGCAACATGGGCAGGTCCAGCAACATGGGCAGGTCCAGCAACATGGACAGATCCAGCAACATGGACAGGTCCAGCAACATAGACAGGTCCAGCAACATGGACAGGTCCAGCAACATAAACAGGACCAGCAACACGGACAGGTCCAGCAACATAGACAGGACCAGCAACATAAACAGGACCAGCAACACGGACAGGTCCAGCAACATAGACAGGACCAGCAACATGGACAGGTCCAGCAACATAGACAGGTCCAGCAACATGGACAGGTCCAGCAACATAGACAGGTCCAGCAACATGGACAGGTCCAGCAACATAGACAGATCCCCAGCAGTGAGAGAGCATGTGGAAAGAGAGGAACGTGCCCGCGAGAATGTATCTCTATGAAATGTTAGCAAAATGAGGTAAAATTGACATAAGTGAGTACTTACTACACGTCATAGATTGTGAAGGGGAAAATCTTTCCAAAAAGTGGCTGATCTTTTCTTGCATCAGCGACAATTTGGAACAAAAAAAGACGTGAAAAAAACATAACAGAGAAAAAGGAGGTCGAGCAACTGATAGTTATGAAATAACGGCCGAATGTGAGGCCTCTTTCCGTACATATTTTCTCGGAGGTGAGAGGTAATCCCCAGGACACTCTCACCTGACCCGTGACCAGTGTTGAGTCACTCTTCGTGACTTGTGTTGCGTCACTCTTCTTGACGAGTGTTGCGTCACTCTTCATGACCAGTGCTGCGTCACTTTGTGACGATTGTTGCGTCACTCTTCATGACAAGTGTTGCGTTATTCTTCATGGTCAGTGCTACGTCACTTCATGGCGAGTGCTACGTCACTCTTTGCGTCAAATTTGGGACCTGGCCTTCTAGTCTCTTCCATGCATAAATTATGTAATAACTCGCTCGTCTCCTTTCTAGAGAAACCATCTTGAGAGCTTCGAGAAAGTCCCAGTAATATAGATGTTTTATCATATTTAAGGGTTCGAAGGGTTGTCATAGCCAGGATGGGGGGGGGGGGGAGGGGTTGGAGATAAGCTCCCACAGCCTGTAAAGTGCCCTCGATGGCGTGCGTCTCAAATAAGCTCTGACAACCTACTCCAACTCCTGGCCTGCACGTGTGGCCGAGCCTCTAGGCCTGGCGGAACTGCTTCTACTAACAGAAGAAGGGGCAGAGGCGGGCGTCTGGCACCTCAAAACCAGTTGCTTTGGGCAGATGGGGCTCGTCAACCTGGGAAGGCAGCTCATCTAGGGGAAGGAATACCCCGAATCCAAACCTTCACGGTCTTGCGGCTAAACCCACTCATGGGAAAGGCTTCGGGAGTCAACCCCCGAGGAAAAATCCGGAGTCGGAGTCCCATAGGTGGTTTGCAGCTGTCTACAGCTACGTTCCGGCAACTCCTTCGACGACACTGGTGCCAAGCGTATCGGCGCCTGCCCTTTCCTTGGACCTTGGAGAGGGTGGAACTGCTGCATGGGCTACAGCGTGTTCTCCATAACTACTGTCCAGGCCTGTGTCCTGGAGAGGACACTCCACCATCGCCTTGACGACGGCTCAAGATGGGAAGCGCCAGTTACAGGTGATAAGCCTACCACTCAATTGGCGTAGAGTGAGGCGCCAGGGGTTGCTCCCGTCGGTGGGAGAAATCATCCGATTTCATAGGACAGCTTCCGCCCCCCTCAAGCTGGGCAGCCCCCAGCAAATAAGGTGCTGTCCCGCCACGGTCCGCCTGCTCCACTGGATACGTGGGGCTTAGGCCACAATCCAACAAGCGCATCGTCAACCATGCACAAGGCAAAAGAAAACAAACACACAGCTCCTCAGGTCTAAAACTGGCCACGTGGATTGTAAGAATCATGACACCGGGTCTCTTTGAAGATCTACTGGAAGTGAACGACGCCCGCAAGACAGCTGTGATCAACAGTGAACTATGCAGGTTCCAGATGGAAGTAGCCCCCCTGCAGGAGACACGTCTGCCCGTGACCGGCAGCGTACGAGAAAAGGACTTTACCTTCTGCTGGCAGGGAAAACCACCGGAAGAGGCAAGGGAGTATGGCGTTGGCTTGGCCGAAAGGAACAGGTTGTTAGAGTCCATAGTACCGCCCACAGAGGGATCTGCAAGAATCATCAAACTTCAGTTTCATACAGCAGCAGGAATGGTCAGCCTCATCAATGCCTTTCGCACCAACACTGACCACCTCTACCGAAGCAAAGGACGAGTTTTATGATGACCTCGGCCCAACTCTTAGAGACATATTTCAACAAGAGCCAGTCTTCCTCCTGGGAGACTTTAATGCAAGAGTTGGTTCTGATCACAGCTCTTGGCCTTCCTGCCTGGGCCAGTTTGGATTTGGGAAGATGAATGAGAATGCGCAGCGCCTCCTGGAATTTTGCTGTCATCATGATTTCTGCATTACCAGTTCCTTCTTCGACATCAATTGCGTCAGCTTCTGCTCGATTTTTTTTAATCTCGATGTTTAAATGACATTTATTTTGTTTGGATAGTCGTGTTTACTTAAGCATTTCCGTTATTTGTCTTCTTCTGTAGTGTGTCGCCTGCGTTCTGTTTCTCAGTTGGTACATTTTGTTACCTATTACAAAGGAACATATTCAAGCAAACTTTGTAACCTCAGCAGTCAATGGTCACTTCCTAGTGTGGGAATTTTGGCACTTAAGAGTGTTTCTGAATGGATGTTTGCAAATTATATTTTTACTTTTCCACAGCCAATCCTCTTATAAATACTGAATTTACTGAATAACCCTTCTTGTTAGTTAGTCCTCTTGAACATATTACAAGTATTGATGTTAATTTTACCTTCAGTGAACTTGAGACAACAGTTGTCTTAACGTCAATATGAAGAACTGTCAAACTTCATTAAATCTAAGTTCGATATATCAAATACATTTATGTTACAATAACTGAAACTGTAATACATGTGTATCGCTTACCTCCGTGTCCTCCACCGATGATTATTCCATGCCCGCCTCCATGCCCACCTCCATACCCGCCGCCATATCCTCCACTGATGATAACTCCGCCTCCGTGGCCATATCCACCACCATATCCACCGCCATATCCACCGCCATATCCACCGCCATATCCACTGCTATATCCACCATAACTTCCGCCATATCCGCTTGCATGTTCGTGGACAGGAATGTGGACGGGAACATAGATATACTCGTACTGGTCCTCATCTTCATAGTCGCTGCCCTTACTGCCC